GTAGTCGTAAGTGTGAAAAATGGTTATGTCACTTTTTTCAGTGCTGGTGTAACTTCAAATGGTCACTAAATGAACTGTTATAAGTCAAGGACTACCTATTATAATTTGTAAGTTAACACAAAAGCACACCAATCAATAATACTTCATGGAAGCACCCATTATAAAAACAGACCTGACAGCATTGTTGATCTTTTAAAGCAGTGTTCCTCAAATCTTTTCTCTTCATCCCAGGTCTCATTCCTGCATACAAACATAGGACAGTAATCGCTATATTTTCTGATGTGGACAAGGCATTATTTGCATTTTGCAAAATACATTTGCTTTTCTGTGCTCCCTCTCCTGGCTATTATTCCCTTGAAATATCCCAGAATCCCCAGGGGACCATATGGCCCTCAGCTGAGAACCACTGATTTGGACAATGTTTAAAAAGAAAGACGGTTTTGCTGCAACAGTTTTTCCAGGTAATCCTCAATTTACAATCAGAATTGGGAATAGAATTTCTCTTGCTAAGCAAAGTGATTGTTAAGTGAATCGTGCCTGATTTTATGATCTTTTTTTGCCATGCTTAATAAGCAAATCACTGCCATTGTTAAGTGAACCACATGGTCCTTAAGCAAATCCAGTTTTCCCTGGTGACTGCTTGTCAGAAGTCGGCTTGGAAGGTTGCAAATGGTGATCATATGATCTTGGGGTGCTGAAACCATTGTAAATATGGTGCATGTCAGTTGCTAATAACTTGAATTTTGATCACATGACCATGGGCATACTGTGACAGTTGTAAGTACCACACGAGGACCAATTGTACGAGCACCATTGCAACTTCAATGGTCACTAAAAGAATAGTTGTAAACCGAGGAACTACCTATAAAAACAGCAGCAAACTACAGTACTTCTGGTGTGAACTCTGTCATCCTGTGACTCTGACGACTACCAGTTTCAGTTCATCCAGTGCTGTAGCACAATAACTTATCTAGCGTCAATACTGCTGGTCTGGTACAGTTTGTTCCTGAACATACTGAATTGAGTAACGGCTGAAATCAACATGATGCACACTATCCTGAATGTGGGGAGGGAAGCATCATACTGGCCAATGACAGGAATTGCCTGCCATGTTAACAGAGCAGACAAAAAGTGCAGTTAATAAAATTATCACTGTAATTTGAGAAGGATTCCTGCATCTGCTTGTCTTTTTTTTTCTTTTTAAATGACACTGTCAAGAACTTTTCCAGCTGTTTAACCAACTCTTCAACAAAAGATAAACATGATTTTGGGCGTCACGCTCTCTCTCAGTTTAACTCACCCACAGTCTAGCCCATCCATTGTTGTTGTGGAGAAAATAGAAGGAGGAAGCTATGCTCACCGCCTTGAGTTATTTGTAAAAATAAGATGGGATGCAAATAAATAGGTAGTCTGCAACTTTATTCTGCATAAATTCTTGTAGACCACAGTCCATTTCATCCAATGCATGGAATATAATCCTGAAGGGCATATGCCAACAATGTTGATTTGTTGGTGTTCCAGCTGTTCCACATTGTGGTTTGACCAGTTATGTATCTCAATTTCTCTTGGTTTTTGTTGCTAGTTTTGTTTTACGATTGCATTAATCCACTGCACTCATTGAGTGCTACAAAAAAGAAAAAAACGATTTCCGTTGGAATTTTTCTTCACTTTTTGCAATTAATGTCCAGCTTTTTTTAGGAGGTATGGAAAAAAAATATTTTGATTTTGCAACTAGCTATTGTAATTCTGTTTTCATATTAATTCCCTACTAGGTTTCATTCTTGCAATTCTGTAACGCTTATTAAGAAATAAAATTAAATGAGTCTTACTTATCTCTAAGTAAAACCCCATAGGAAAAGATATATTCTTTCCCTTGCTACCTTCTCCTTCGGACTTGCTCACGAAGTAACAACTTTTTAGAAAACATTATTGTTCCATGAATCGCGATCATGTCTCAAAAGCTTCAGGGTTTGAAAGTTAAGCTACCGTGTGGTCTGCAGCAAATCCATGCTTGAAAGTAATAATAATAATAATAATAATAATAATAATAATAATAATAATAATGCACAGACTGATTACAAGCAGCGACATGACAAAGTAGCAACAATCGTGCATTGGAAGATCTGCAAAAAATATCATTTGCCTGTAAGCAAAAACTGGTGGGATCATAAAATAGAGAAAGTCATAGAAAATGATAAAATTAAACTGCTCTGGGACTTCAGAATTCAAACAGACAAGCACCTGCAACATAACACCCCAGACTTAACAATTGTCGATAAGAAGACAAAAAAGTCTGGATAGTGGATGTGGCAGTGCCTGGAGATAGCAAAATAGAAGAGAAAGAACTGGAGAAGATAACAAAATACAAAGACCTACAAATAGAAATAGAAAGACTGTGGCAAAAGCAAGCAAGGGTAGTACCAATAGTCATAGGCTCCTTGGGCGCAATCCCAAAACAACTGGAGCACCACTTGAACACCATTGGCATTGACAAATTTGCTATTAGTCAATTGCAAAAGGCGGCCTTATTAGGAACTGCTTCCATCCTGCGACGATACCTGTAATACCATCAAACATCTACATCTGCCTATCCCAGGTCCTGGGTAAGTACTCGATAGGTAGACAAAATGCCAAATCCAGTCTGAACATCTGGCTGACTGTGCGATGATTGATAATAATACAAATTGAGTCAAAATTGAGAAGACAGCAACAGACAGTAAGTATCGCCTATGCAAAGAAGCTGAAGAAACAGTGGACCACTTGGTAAGCTGTTGCCAGAAGATTGCACAGACTGATTACAAGCAGCGGCATGACAAATGGTGCATTGGAAGATCTGCAAAAAATATCATTTGCCTGTAAGCAAAAACTGGTGGGATCATAAAATAGAGAAAGTCATAGAAAATGATAAAATTAAACTGCTCTGGGACTTCAGAATTCAATCAGACAAGCATCTGCAACATAACACCCCAGACTTAACAATTGTCGATAAGAAAGACAAAAAAGTCTGGATAGTGGATGTGGCAGTGCCTGGAGATAGCAAAATAGAAGAGAAAGAACTGGAGAAGATCACAAAATACAAAGACCTACAAATAGAAATAGAAAGACTGTGGCAAAAGCAAGCAAGGGTAGTACCAATAGTCATAGGCTCCTTGGGTGCAATCCCAAAACAACTGGAGCACCACTTGAACACCATTGGCATTGACAAATTCGCTATTAGTCACTTGCAAAAGGCGGCCTTATTAGGAACTGCTTCCATCCTGCGATGATACCTGTAATACCATCAAACATCCACTTCTGCCTATCCCAGGTCCTGGGTAAGGACTCGATAGGTAGACAAAATGCCAAATCCAGTCTGAACATCTGGCTGACTGTGCGATGATCAATAATATGGGATCATAAAATAGAGAAAGTCATAGAAAATGATAAAATTAAACTGCTCTGGGACTTCAGAATTCAAACCGACAAGCACCTGCAACATAACACCCCAGACTTAACAATTGTCGATAAGAAAGACAAAAAAGTCTGGATAGTGGACGTGGCAGTGCCTGGAGATATCAGAATAGAAGAGAAAGAACTGGAGAAGATAACAAAATACAAAGACCTACAAATAGAAATAGAAAGACTGTGGCAAAAGCAAGCAAGGGTAGTACCAATAGTCATAGGCCCCTTGGGTGCAATCCCAAAACAACTGGAGCACCACTTGAACCCCATTGGCATTGACAAATTTGCTATTAGTCAATTGCAAAAGGCGGCCTTACTAGGAACTGCTTCCATCCTGCGACGATATCTGTAATACCATCAAACATCCACATCTGCCTATCCCAGGTCCTGGGTAAGGACTCAATAGGTAGACAAAATGCCAAATCCAGTCTGAACATCTGGCTGACTGTGCGATGATCGATAATAATGAACATCTGGCTGACTGTGCGATGATCAATAATAATAATAATAATAATAAAGTTGGGAGGGACCTTGGAGGTCATCGAGTCCAACCCCCTGCTCAGGCAGGAAGCCCTACACCAGTGGTTCTCAACCTGTGGGTCGGGACCCCATTTGGGGTCGAATGACCATTTCATGGGGGTCGCCAAACCACGCTGTCCGCCATTTTTTTCCCTTTTCCCTAGCTGCCCTACTCCCTCTTATTGGTGGCCACACCCACTTGGGGGTCACCACAACGTGGGAAACTGAATTATGGGGTCACGGCATTAGAAAGGTTGAGAACCACTGCCCTACACCATTTCGGACAAATGGCTGTCCAGTCTCTTCTTAAAAAACTTCCAGTGTTGGAACATTCATCGCTTCTCGAGGCAGGTTGTTCCACTGGTTAATTGTTCTGTCAGGAAGTTTAAAAACCTTCCCAGGTGACCATTTGGCCATGCGCCCTCCTCCCTTCAGCTCTTTCTTGCTAACAGCACATGTCGATCAACAAAAACTACAATTCCCAGGAGGCTTCCTGCAATGGTAGTTAACTTTTGGAAGTAATAATTATTTTCCACAAGGCTTAACTGCCTGTGTTGCATTGGAACGCAAGCTGCTTAGGTTAATAAATCAAACTCCAGCTTTTTGATGGATTTCCCCCCCCCCCCCGCTTAATTCATTGACCCCGCCCTAGAGGCCCCCTTGATTATATCTTGTTCCTCATGAACAGGGGTCTTCAAACTTGGCCCTTTTATGACTTGTGAATTTCAGCTCCCAGAATCCCTCAGCCAGCATGCCTGGCTGAGGAATTCTGGGAGTTGAAGTCCACAAGTCATAAAAAGGCCAAGTTTGAAGACCCCTGCTCATGACCATTTTCCACATTTAAACATTCCGTTTAAAAAAAAATTGGAAAGAAAAACAGAAATGGACTGAACTGTTTTTGGGGGGGGGGGATTGCGGAGTGGCTTTTTTTTTTTTGGTGGCGGTGTACGAACGCATGCGCAAAATGAAGCCCTTAAACAGGGAAATTGGTTTCCATGAATTGCGCATGCGTCCACTTCTGACAACTTAGGGCGCACGCGCTAGGTACCTAGCTGTAGGAAGTGCCCTGTGCGGAGGTTGTTGCGTCATTTTTAGGCGCGCGTGCCGCCTTCATTTATTTATTTATGGTTTAGCAAGCGTGCGTCAAGCGTTGTTCTGCCACTCTCGGCACGGACTTTAAACGGTAGGGGATCAAGTGTTTGTCGCGGTAATGGGAATTTACTGGACTAAGGGGGTGAATTATAATCCAGCTAATTATAATTGTACCGTGTCGCCCCCTACTGGTTCCCTCTGCATGTTGAGGATTTATTCTATGCTTGCGGCGTGTGATCGATCGGGTTCATTGCAGTATGTAGTGATGCCCCTTCTTTCATCATGAGAAATCCATACTATATCTCAGGATATATACTATATATCCTGCTGGCTCAGGAATTCTGGGAGTTGAAGTCCACGAGTCATAAAAGAGCCAAGGTTGCCTACTCCTGCTATATCTTAAAGGAGATGCCAGATACTCGTATTTTCCTCTGGTGTAAGAAATGAAAGGTCATATTTTTCATTGAAAATGTTCAAAGTAACACGTTTTTGACAGCAAGTACATAAATCGCAGTGGTCCGAATGCATCTTACCCTGTAAACGTGCATATTAGATTTACAAACAATAATTGGAAGTCATATGGGTATTAATTGCTTTCCAGAAGGATGGGTCTTCCAGCTAAAAACAAATGGAGAAATTAAAATGGGCAATTTAAAATAGCAAATTCTGCTTTTAAATTAAAATATGCACCTCATATCTGCTGAGTATTCAGAAAATAAGTACATTTAATTCCATTTATCCTGCAAATATAAATACAGGAATATAAAGTGAAGGTGGTCCCGAGGCTAATTTGCCTAATAAAGATAGATAGAAACTTTCCCAAATTCTAAACGTTTGTTTGTTTATATTTCATGTTTCTAGACTGCCCATCTCCCTTTATAAAGGAGGGGCTCTGGACAGTGTTTTAAAGTCCATATAGGTAATCCTTGACTTACAACCACAATTGAACCCAAAATTTCTGTTGCTAAATGTGACATTTGTTATTTGCACCAAATGTAGGACATCAAGAATACTGTATTCCTCCCTTTATTAATGTTTTAAGATTTAGCAGTACAGTCTTTCCAGAATGTTATAATGGCAATTGGTTTGAGAGAAATTCCTTTCTCCTGCCCTACATTTCTTTTAGCAACATGGCTTTGGTGTCAGCCGATTCTAGGATTGCTGAACTCCTGGGAGAATTGCACCAGCTTATCAAACAGACCCAGGTAACGTGATGTTTTTTTTCCCTGGAATATTTGGGTCTGTATGTGAAGTCTACTTAGCTTATCATGGCCAATGATGAGAAAAGGAGAAGGCTTTCCTTCTGCTCTTTCTGGAGAGGGAGGATGTCTTTTTCATTTGGGGCTACATCTTATTTTAGTAATGCACCAAAGAGGCTGTACCATAATGATGAGAGGAGGGCATGAAACTAGTGTGGTGTGATAACTTCAAGGAATACACTTTATGTGCGAAAAAACCCTGTTGTCAAAAAAAATAAAATAACCAGAAACCCTTTTGTTGCTAGGAGGAACGATCAAGAAGTGAACATAATCTTGTGAATATCCAGAAAACACATGAACGGATGCAGACGGAGAACAAGAGTGAGTAGAAAATGCCAGCTTTGTAACACCTTCCCTAGAAATCCTTTCTGAGGCATCATTTTGAATTTGTCACATTCCCCAGCTGGTAGACTAGAGAGTTATTTTCATAGGTAGGTAGGTAGGTAGGTAGGTAGGTAGGTAGGTAGGTAGGTAGGTAGGTAGGAAGAGTGATGGCACAGTTGTTAGAATGCAGTACTGTAGGCAAACTCTGCCTTTAGCCAGGGGTTCGATCCTGACCAGCTCAAGGTTGACTCAGCCTTCCATCCTTCCAAAGTTGGTAAAATGACCCAGATTGTTGAGGGCAATATGCTGACTTTGTAAACCTCTTAGAGAGGGCTGTAATACACTATGGAGTGGTATATAAGTCTAAGTGCTATTGCTAATTGGGCCAGTGTATTCAATTACCATTGTTTAACAACTGCCAACAGTGACAATGGCCATGGATGTTCTGAAGCTTGTAGGCAGTGGGAGCCATTGTATGCTGCATCGAAAAGGCAACAGGCTAGAGAAATGTGTTAAATAATTTTGTTCCTTCACTCCAAAAGGTTTGGAGCTAAAGCTAAATTTTTCCCTTGGAGGAAAATAGGGGTGAGAATTTTCTAGAAAAATTTGACTTGGAAAATGTTCTGGCTAATTGCTTGTACATATGAAATTAATTGGTAGAAGATAGTCCTTATTCATCTTTGGTAGGGCTGCTCTACCTCACAAGAGACCAACTTGCAAAGTGTGTTTTGAGAATGAAAATGTGCAGGATCTGAGGTGTGGCTTGGTAACAAATGCAAGAGACCAGAAGTTGCCTTTAAGCTTTACACGTTTACATGAACAAAGAAGGGCCCCTCTAAACGAGAGGAAGCCCCAAATGACAAGAAATCCTTTTATTTATACTTTTTGATTACATAAGCCACGGATGTCAAACTCGCAACGTGTCACGACGTATCACAACTTTTTTTCCATTGCCGGCAATGGGATGGGTGTGGTTTCACCATGATGCATCCGGCCCATGGGCCAGTAGTTTGACACCCCTGACATAAGCAATTCACCCAGCAAAGCTGGCACACATAAGATAAAGACTTCACCCAGAAAGGCTGGCTCACCATAGATAAGAAAGGAGAAAGCAGAAATAGCTTTGGGTGTTTCCCTAAAGACACTATGTGTTCTCGGGTGACTTGGGACATTGGGTGTTTTCCTTGCTGATCTTCCATGGCTCTGCATCCAATGATCTGCAAGTACCCTAAGATAGCGGGGCCATTTGCACATATTATATACTTAGTCCAAAATGTATTGTTATTGTTTCCTACCCACACCTCATCTATGGCTCTCTTGACCCTGCACTGAATAATAAAACAGGGAACTTTTTAAATTATTAAGAAAAAAAGAATAAACAGAGAACAGATTGAATATATACAGAATTATACATAATGTAGAGTGCTTCATCTAGGCCAGGGGTAGGTAACCTTGGCTCTTTTATGATTCGTGGACTTCAACTCTCAGAATTCCTGAGCCAGCCATGCTCAGGAATTCTGGGAGTTGAAGTCCACGCGTCATAAAAGAGCCAAGGTTGCCTACCCCTGATCTAGGCTAATGAATCGGCTTCCCAATGAATATCTTACTGGGCATTGCAGAAAATTAAACTAGTTGGGTTGTTGCTACATTTCAGAACAAGTGACTTTATAGTCTGTTATATTCTTTAGGCCTTGGATCTTTCCCAGTTCTATGTGAGATACTCTGAGTCAAAAAAGGATTTTGCCTAGTATATGTAATGTGGTATATTTGATTTTAGCTTAATATGTCAGGTGAGACTGGTATGTCACTTCTAAACTTTAGATTATGGTTCACAGTGTTGTGTTAATCCATAATATATTCCCACAAACTTGATGAAGCAAGTTTGGCTTAGAACAAAGGCAAACTAGATTTCTGTGTAAACTCAATATTACCCAATATTACCTGCATTTCTTCTGTCTAGTCTCTCCATATTATCGGACGAAATTACGTGGCCTCTATACAACAGCTAAGGCTGATGCAGAAGCTGAATGCAAGTGAGTATATCTAAGTTGCCTGCTTCTAATGAGAGAAGGTGATTCCTTTTCATTACTGTTGTTGCTTCTTTGCCCTATTTACCCAGCATCCTGCGCAAGGACTTGGACAAAATTGCTGAGATAAAGTCTCTTCTGGAAGAACGGCGAATTGGTGAGTGTTGCAAAGCTCTGAATAAGGAAGAAAAAATGAGATGCTTGAGTTGTTATAAAAATGTTGGGTGCTATCCCAAGATGTAAAGTTTTAAACAATTTAGTTTTAATTATTTCATTATTCAAGCGGCCTTAAGAAAAGGATGCACATGAGTTTTTGGTGTGGACTTGTCTTCCATTAATAAAGGTAGTCCTCAAGTTACGACAGCAATTTCTGTTGCTAAGTGATTCAGTCATAAATTGTGGCTGCATTGCTTAGTGACAACAATCTCTACATTAATTTCCATTAACAGAATTGTAGCCATCGTTAGGCAAGGACATTTTGGCAACTTCTAGCTGGCTTACCATAACTAAAGTCAGTGGGAAAGCCAGCAGGGAGTTGCAAGTCACAAGTGGTTTGCAAGCAGACAGGTAGGTGAGCGGGTTGCTTCCAGGTGAGGGATGGGGTGCAAGGAAGGCAACGTTTGGGGGGTGCAGGGATGCCAGTGTGTGCGAGAAGATATTTATTTATTTATTTTCAAATATTTATATGCCGCCCAATCCCAAAGGACTCAGGGCGGCGTACAAAGTTAAAACAATGATAAAACAATAAAATAAAACAGTCATACCGCGAGTCCGATCATATCCCGCCCCCCCGGGGACATCAGCCCCAGGCCTGCCGGAACAGGAGAGTTTTAACGGCCTTCTTAAAGGCCGGCAGGGTGGGAGTAGTTCGAACCTCGGGGGGAAGTTGATTCCACCAGGTCGGAGCCACCACAGAAAAGGCCCGTCCCCGAGGGCCTGCCAGCCGACATATGGGATTGGGGAGATGATGTGGGTGGGGGAGACTTATCCCAAGGACATGGAGTCTTCATTGCTGGCTTCTCCATTGATGGGGAAGCTTGTCAGGGAAAGTCACAAATGGCAATCCTGGATTGCTCAGCACAGCAACCAATTGTAAGTATGAGTTGGTTGCCAAGTGCCCAGACTGAGATCACATAGCTGCAGGGGTGCTAGCTGGATAGCTGGAACAATCATAACCACGATTCATTCAGCACTGTCGAAACTTCAAACAGTCACTGACCAAAAGGTTGTAAGTCAAGAACTACCTATAGACAAATCTAGTTCTGTCAAAGCGGGACTGCAAACATTTAGTCAGCCTCTAGATCAGCAGTTCTCAACCTGTGGATCGCAACCCTTTTGGGGGTTGCACGAGCCTTTCACAGAGGTCGCCTAAGACCATCGGAAAACACATATTTCCGATGGTCTTAGGCAGGGCTTGTCAACCGCCTTCTCTCCCTCCCCCCCCCTCTGCTCCACCTCACTTGTTTGTGGAAAATATGCTGCTTGGCGGCAGTCTGCACAAACTCTACCAAATGTGCCCTGCAGGGGGCGCATGAAGAGCGCAGGCGCAGAGCAAGGGCCCGCCCTCCCCAGAGACTCATTGTGCAGCAACCGGATTGACTTCTTCTCATGCACGCAGGTCAGCGAAGGGGAGGCCGCTGCAGCACCCAACTCCTGCGCCTGTCAGCTGGCGACCCCCGAACTTGCGCCAGCTGACGCAAGAGGGAGGGAAGGAGGAAGGGACTCTTCCTCCTCTCCTAGGCTTCAAAGCACGATCGGCTTCCCAAGGGCGCCACAATCCTCACGAAAGTGGGGGGGGGAAGCAAAGGGGGCGAGAAAGCTTGCGGCGGGCTTGAAGCAACACCTGCCAGCGTTGGTGACGAGAAATTCCCCACAAACCCAGGGAAGGGGTGGAGAAAAGGAGCCCCCTTTGGGAGGAAACTGCCACCTTCTTCTCCTTGGCTTTGTGCTCTTCTGTTTCTCGGCAGCCGGGCTGGCAAGCCTCTCCTGGCTGGAACTTCCTTTCCTTCCCTCCCTCTTGGTCTCTTCCTCCTTCCCTCCCTCTCCCATTGTCCCTTCCTTCCTTCCTTTCTTCCTTCCTTCCTTTCCTTCGCCTCCCTCTTTGTCCCTCCTTCCCTCCCTCTCCCCCTTGTCCCTCCCTCCTTCCCTCCCTTCCTTCCTTCCTTCCTTCCTTCCTTCCTTCCTTCCTTCCTTCCTTCCTTCCTTCCTTTTGCCTCCCTCTTTGTCCCTCCTTCCCTCCCTCTCCCCCTTGTCCCTTCCGTCTTTCCTTCCTTCCCTCTTGTCCAGGATCGGGCGAGCCTCTACAGCTGATCCGCACTTCTGCAGCTGTAGCTGCTCGCCTTGGCTCCTGCCCAGCAAACTTGCTCGCTAGAAAACATGTACTTGCTAATTTAGCAGAAGAGCAAATCAGCTGTAGCCTGGTGCTGATCCTGGAGCTTCTGCTAACTTAGCGAAGCTGAGCAAGTGAGCTGGGCAAGCTCTCTTCTGTCTCTGCCTGTGCACAGGCAGGTTTGCCGGCAGTAAAGCCCCAGCCACGCTGGCAGCCTATCCCCCTCCCCTTGTCCCTTCCTGGGCACGGGGGGGGGAGGAAGGAAGGGACGAAGAGGGAGGGAAGGAAGGAACAATGAGAGGGAAGGAAGGGAGGAACAATGGAAGGGAGGAAGAGACAGGGAGGGAGGGAAGGAAGGAAGGGAGGGAGGGAGGGACAAGGGGAGAGAGGGAGGGAAGGAGGAAGAGACTAAGGGAGAGGAAGGAAAGGAAGGAAAGAAGGAAGGAAGAGACAGTGGGAGAGAGGAAGGGAAGGAAGGGACAATGGGAGAGAGGGAGGGAAGGAGGAAGAGACTAAGGGAGGGGAAGGAAAGAAGGAAGGAAGGAAAGGACAATGGGAGAGAGGGAGGGAAGGAGGAAGAGACTAAGCAGGAGGTGAAAGGAAGGAAGGAAGGGACAATGGGAGAGGGAGGGAAGGAGGAAAAGACGAAAGGAGGGGAAGGGAAGGAAGGAAGGGACAAGGGGAGAGAGGGAGGGAAGGAGGAAGAGACTAAGAGGGAGAGGAAGGAAAGAAGGAAGGAAGGGACAAGGAGAGGGAGGGAAGGAGGAAGAGACTAAGCAGGAGGTGAAGGGAAGGAAGGAAGGAAGGGACAATGGGAGAGAGGGAGGGAAGGAGGAAAAGACGGAGGGGAAGGGAAGGAAGGAAGAGACAATGGGAGAGGGAGGGAAGGAGGAAGAGACTAAGAAGGAAAGGAAGGAAAGAAGGAAGGAAGGAAGGGACAATGGGAGAGGGAGGGAAGGAGGAAGAGACTAAGAGGGAGGTGAAGGAAAAGAAGAAAAGAAGGAAGGAAGGGACAAGGGGAGGGAAGGAAGGCAGGCACCCACCCCAGTCCCATCCCAGAGACCCACAGATTCCCCCCCACAGGCACTCTGCAACCTGAGTGATCAGTTGGCCACGCCCCCTGGCCATTGATCACGTGACCCTGGGACACTGAACATCGTAAGTATGAATCAATTGTCAAGCATCTGAATGTAAATCACATGACTCTGGGGATGCTGCAACAATCATAGGTGTGAAAAATGATCATAATTCGCTTTTTCAGTGCTGTTGTAATTTCAAACAGTCACTAAGCGAATTGTTGTAAGTCGAGAACTACCTATACTTTCCCATTTTTTCCTTTTTTTTTTTTTGGTCAAATTTTTGATACCCCCCCCCCCCGGCCAGCTGGATGGGGGTTTGGGGGTCACCCCAACATGAGGAACTGTATTAAAAGGTTGCGGCATTAGGAAGGTTGAGAACCACTGCTCTAGATGGTAGCATATAGATATATAATGCCTTATTCCAGTGGTTCTCAACCTTCCTAATGCCGCGACCCTTTAATACAGTTCCTCATGTTGTGGTGACCCCCAAGCATAAAATTATTCCAGGGTCATGTGATCACTTTTTGTAACCTTGTGACAAGCAAACTTAGTGGGGAAACCAGATTCACTGAACAACCACATTACTAATTTAATCTCTCTCCCTCTTTCTCTCTCTCCCTCTCTTTCTCTCTCTTTCCCTCTCTCCCTTTCTTTCTCCCTCCCTGTTCCTCTTTCTCTCTCTCTCTTTCTCTCTCTTTCTCCCTTTCTTTCTCTCTCTCCCTGTCTCCCTTTCTCTTTCCCTCTCTCTCTTTCTCTCTCTCTCCCCGTCTCCCTCTCTTCTCTCTCCCTCTTTCTTCCTCTTCTCTTTCTCTCTCTCCCTCTCTCTTTCTCTCCCTTTCTCTATTTCTCTTTCCCTCTTTCTCTCCCTCTCTTTATTTCTCTCTCCCTCTCAAAGATCCTTAAAATCCTTAAAAGTTATGCTTGGGTGGAAGACTTTTTCTTTTATAGATGGGGCGGGTGGGCCTGACATTCGCAGGCCGGCAGGACCCCACCTGCCGAGCCGCTGCCTCCCCATCGCTCTCCATGCCAGTCGACTCCCTTGTCAGACCTCCCAGCTGACAAGCGTAGATTTGGGGGTCGCCAACTGACGGGCGCAGAGTTCGGCGCTACGCGGCCTCCCCTTCGCCTTCCTCACTGGCCAAAGCATTGCCAGATGTTCCAGCTGACAGGTGCAGTCCAGAGATCGCCAGCTGATGGGTGCAGGAGGTTGGCGCCACGGCAGCCTCCCAGCCACCTGCTTCTTAGGCTGGAGCAGTTGCCAGGGCTTGCCTGGTCACCGGCGGCGGGGAGCGAGTCAGCGGTCATTGGGGACCACACCAGCAATCCTGTGCCATGGAGGCTTGAGGCACAGAGGCTCAGGACCCGGAGCAGCACGGTGCCATAGGAGACAGCAGGACAGGGGGGAGGGGTTACCTGCATCCTGCCAGCTGAACTCTGGAAGCCTGCCTGAATGAAGAATTTTAGGGGGTGTTGAAAAGGAGACAGACTGAGGGCTGTATTAAGACCATAGATGACTCCGTAAGGAGAGTGGAAGGGAGGCGAATTTGGGGTGGAGCGGAAAACATGGGGGAAGGCGTTAGGAAATAAGCACCAAGGTACATGGTGCCTTGCAAGGGATTCCCGAGTGTTCCACAATTGTTTTTCCTCTGTGCGGAGAAAAACTTTTACGATGTAAATCTGAAACCAGATGTTCCTGTGAGGTAGCGCAGGAGGTCCTTGGGAAAGGCAAGTACAAGCTTGGCGTTTCCTCTCTCCCAATCCCCTTCCTCTTCTTCACCCCCCTCCCCAGCCTGCCTGCGATCTTAGCTCGCGGCTCCGTGGCTTTTCTTTGCTTAGCCTGGCCAAGCTTTCTTCCGCCCACCCCGTTTCCGGGAGCGCCGAGGAGGTACAGCAGAAACACATGAATTGGGATTGTGGCGCCCTTGGGAAGCTGTCCATGCTTTGAACCTTAGGAGAGGAGGAGTCCCTTCCCTTCCTCTCTCCCTGTCAAGCCCCCCGCGGGCTTGACATGAACGGGCAGGGAAGGAGTCAACAACGTGTGGGGCGGCAAAGGAGACCAGTGGCCGGCGCTGTTCTACCTGGCAGCGTGGGTGTTGGCTCTGTTGGCGTCCCGACCAACAGCTGAGCACTCCAGCTTCTGGCCGCCGAACAGCTGAGTCCTCCGGGAGGCAATGTGAGGCCCTGAGGGGTATGCAAGCTCGTGGGGGGGGGGAGGAAAAGAAGATGGAAGAGAGTGAGGCTGCAACAGAGAGAGCAGTGTCTCGTTTCCTAAGACCATCGGAAATATGTGTTTTCTGATGGTCTTAGGCGACCCCCGTGAAAGGGTCGTTCAACCCGCAAAAGAGTTGCGACCCACAGGTTGAGAACCGCTGCCTTATTGCCTTGCTGCCATTTAGTAGTTATCTATATTTTTGCAGCCCAATTTTGGTAATCCTAATCAGATTGTGCCAGAAAGAAATTGAATAAGAATACTTTGCTCCTTCCAAGACATAGATAGAAAAATTGGGAAAAGATGAAGCGTTATTTTGATTAGGCTAATTGGCTTCTGTTGCTGAGTTAAAGAAATCATTCTAAACCAATGTTTGTCTTAAGTATATTTTAGGAACAAGCTACAGGGACCTGATTCATGGCAAATTATTGTGCCATATTTAACAAATTATACGCATTATGTAAACCCAAAAAGAGCCTCGATAGGTTAAGGAATGATGTTCAATGCATTCTTCTTGAATGTCTGGTGCATCAGCCCTAATATGAATAATTGCACTGGGATGCCTTCCCAGTTAAGCATCTGCTGAGCTGACTAAGAGAAACCTACGGTTCCCAGAAATCTTAGTTTAAATTAGGCAGGAGGTTTTGTGCTGTATATAAGATTGGGTGATGAGCAAAAGTAAGAATTTATAACTGAAAGTGGAAATTCTTTCCCACAATTTGGAACTTACCCCTGATAGTTCAAGGACACCTCTAAAATAAACTTAGAAGGAATTCACTGCCACAAAACTGACTTCTGCCAGTTCATAAACAAAGACAAAGTGAGAAATTTGATGTATTGATTGATACATTCACAATTTTCTGTGACAAGGAAATGAAAAGTTTTTACAACCTCAGCTCTTCTTTTTTTTTTACTTTTCTATTTAGATTATATATTCCCTTCCATTCAAGACCTCAAATTTGCCTATACAGTGCTCTCTCTTCTTCCATATTGTTGTAGAGCATAACGTTACTATGTTTTTGATATGGAAATGAATATGATTGACAGGTTCATCAGAAGGTCGGAAGTTTACTCCCTTGGAGTATTGGAATTGTTGCTTTCTAAGCTTAAGCCATAAGTCTAGTTGTGCCTTGGATTGTCTGTCTGTCTGTCTGTCTGTCTGTTGGTATTGACTTCTACCAATTTTTACCTTGGATTGTCTGTCTGTCTGTTTATCATTTGTCATCTGTCTATCTATCAGTATTGACTTCTACGGCTGAGACATTTGCATCCTTAATAATTTGTTAGATGTAGCCAAACTTTTCTGGTCTGCTTCCCTCTCTTCACACAGCTGCCAAGATTGCTGGCCTCTACAATGACTCTGAACCGCCACGCAAAACCATGCGCCGTGGAGTGCTGATGACTCTTCTCCAGCAGAGCGCCATGACTCTTCCATTGTGGATTGGGAAGCCTGGAGAAAAGTAATTGTTGGGAAGGTGTGGTGGGTTCTGAAAACCTGAAGTCACTCTTCAGCCATGGATTAGGCACCTTTTGTCTGGTTTCTTGTGCAGGCCACCTCCCCTTTGTGGTGCCATCCCCGCCTCCAGTGATTATGTGGCCAAACCAGGAGATAAAGTAGCAGCTCGCGTCAAGGCTGTTGATGGCGATGAGCAGTGGATCTTGGCTGAGGCTGTGAGCTACAATCATGCCACCAACAAGTGAGCATACTGGGGATTGTGATAATGTCATAAAGAGTCTTCCTTTTGCTAATTAAGAACAGTGGTTGTTTGTCTTGGAAACAGTCATTTTGAAGTATGTAGATATAATAACTGAGGGCCAGCTTGGTCTAATGATTAAGGTGCTGGACTAGGAGTTCCACACCTGCCTTGGGCACAGAAGCCATCTGAGTGACCTTAGGCTATCATTGCCTCTCAGCCCAAGAAGAAGGCAGTGACAAACCACTTCCCAAAACATTGCTTAGTAAACTGAATGGATTTCCTCTATATAGTCACCCAGAGTTTAGATTGCTGTATGATATATGTGCATATTCAAAATCAGTCTGTCCTACTTGATGATGATGATGATGAATATCATTTAAAAAAAGTTGTGGTATGCAAAGCCCAGAGGGCTTATCAAGAGTTGAAAGAGAATAAACTCGGTGATACTACAGTATGTATGAATGTGTATATGCATGGTACATATGTGCTTCATGTCTGTTGAGCCTAAAAGTCTATGGAGATTCTCAGTCATCCAGGTCATAGTTATCCCAAAGATGCTTTTTCACGAGGCAACAGGACTTTCTTGTTTTTCTTTGAAAACATTTCACTTCTCGTCCAAGAAGCTTCTTCAGCTCTCACTGGATGGTGGGGAATGGAAGGATTTATACTTCTTACAGACAGTTGGTCATCATTTTAAAAGAATGCAAATGGATATGTTGTACAAGAATTTCATCTTGGTTAATTTTACTTTGTGGGCATTCTATTTGGATTTCTTCAAATTCTTATTCTTTTTCAGATATGAGGTGGATGACATTGATGAAGAAGGAAAAGAGTAAGTGATGAAGGGATTGTTAAAGGCAGAGGTGCCCTAGGCCCCAGAAGCTTTGAACAAGGCACCCAGAGATTTCCCAAACCCTTCCTGTAATTTCTAATGTGATTAAAGGGAGAATTAAGTATATGTCAGTAGTGCCATTATATTCACTTTATTTAACCTTAATTATATTTACAATTAAATGAAACGTGTATATTTTATTTAATTTCTATAGGCACCTATCTCAATCAGTGACTCTGTGTGGCCTACACCATAAAAACATTAAACAATTTAAACAAAGAATATATATACATAGTTGCCAAGTAAAACTATTGCGATAGGTAGGTAGATAGGTAGGTAGGTAGGTAGGTAGATAGATAGATAGATAGATAGATAGATAGATAGATAGATAGATAGATAGATAATATAGCCAAGAAATGGGGCCTTTAACACATGGTGCCCCAGGCTCCAGCACACAACCAGGTCTTCATGGCCTTGTGAAAGTCCAGCAGGATTGGAGTCATCCTGATACTTTGATGGGAAAATATTCAGATGAGAGCGTTGCATATTTTAGCCCTGAGTGTTCCCCAGTCTGCTTCCCGAAATTCACCTGTGTCCTCAGCCCCTCCCCCCAAATATTTTGGTCCTGAATTATGGGGCATTTGGGGGAAATCTGCTCATCTTGACTTCTATTTTTCCACAGGCGTCATACCTTGAGCCGACGTCGCATCATCCCTCTACCTCAGTGGAAGGCCAATCCTGAAACAGACCCTGAGGCCTTGTTCCAGAAGGACCAGTTGGTCCTGGCCTTGTACCCACAAACCACCTGCTTCTATCGAGCCCTTATCCACGCTCCACCTCAGCGGGTAAGAAAGAGACCATAGAAGTTTTCCTCAATAAATGCTCCAAACTGGTGATAGAATGGCTCATGCAGGTCCACCTGATGGAAAAGCTGACCTGTCCTTCAGTCAGACCAAAGGCTCATTGAGTCCTGGGCCAAGGAACTCTTGATCTGGCCCGTAGCTCTTTCTCCTGAGTTGTTCTCTAGGTAATAATTACAGAGTAACTCTATTGATGCTAATAGAGCAAGGGTCCCCGGTCCATGGCCCAGTGCCAGGCCACAGCCCATTCAGAACCAGGCTCCAGAAGTGGGCATGTGTGTGCACACGTGTGCCCGTGCACAAAGCTGCATCTGTGAAAGTGGCACAAACATGTAAAACCATCCCTTCTTCTCCCCCCTCGACCACCTATCTGAAAACATCAAACCACAGGTTGCTAATATCTCCCAGTCTGTTTATTAGGCAAGGTAATTTGTCTTCCCTGGAATAACACGTCAGGACTTTTCTGGTTTAGATAGAACTAGGTGTGGATGGGGCAGAAGTTTTAAAAAGACAAAACTATCAACATTATTCACGAAAGTTAAATTGTAATCTAATAGAGAAGGAGAGAAGGAGCCTGACAACTACAGATTATCAGTCAGGATCTCTGTCTGTCTCTGGTTTGCTTGGTTGACTTCTCTCCAAATCAATTACCTCTGGAAAGTGTTTATAGAAAACTGCTCTCAATTTATTAGTTCTCTTTCCATCCCATTTTGCCAAATATCAAAATCCTTGATGTTTTATTCAGCACTGGGATTTCACTTGGTCAGTGTTACATTGCTTTGTCCCTTAGCTACTGTATTCGTAGTTTAGCCAGATTATCAGTCTCTGTCTTAAATTAGTAATGCAGATAGAAGGGAAATAGATTTGAAAGTCAAGCTGTCTAAGAAAAAAGAGGCTAGGGGAACAGCCATGGGAGATGTTGCATTCTAGATAGACTACAACTATTTTAAATGTGTTGAGATACGATGGTGAAGTAGCTAAATTGCTAGTGTGTGGAAAGAAAAAATATATCTTATTTAAATATGTGAATGCAGAGGCATATAATTGGAGTTGCTACTTCATTGTTATGCATTACATATCTTATGCTAATTATGAAATTTGGGGTATATACTTCAAGTTAAGCATCTTAGAAGCATGGAAGGTAGGTAGGTAGGTTAAGTAGGTAGGTAGGTAGGTAGGTAGATGATAGATAGATAGGACAGTTTAAAAGACCAAATAATTTTTTTCCAGCAAGAGTTGGCAAATGACTGTTATGAAGTAATGTATCAGGCATATTCTTCCTAGCTCTGGATATAGGAAAGCAGGAAAGCTCAACATCTTTCAAAATTTCCCCAATCCATTCATAATTAGGGTCTAAAAAACCTTATGTATCAGTAAGATGCAGTTGTCTATTTTTAGTAAGACCGTTCAGTATGTCAGGACTGAAATGTGGAAGTGGCTAGAAAAGGGTGGGAAAGAACAAGAAGAAGGGAGACAGAAAAGGATGAGGTAAGGAGAAGACTGAGAAGAAAAGGAAGCAGCTTAACAATCCAGTGGAGAGCATGACTGAATGGCCATCCCCCTGTAGGAGGTAACAAAATCCATTCTTTTTCTTGGACTCAGCCTCAAGATGACTACTCAGTCCTCTTTGAAGATACCAGCTATGCAGATGGCTACTCTCCCCCCCTCAACGTAGCTCAGCGCTATGTTGTGGCTTGCAAAGAAACGAAGAAGAAGTGACGTTGCCCTGCAGCTGCAGCTTGGTGAAGAACAAGGTCTATCCCGGTGAACTTCTGCAGAGGGACAGTGAATAAAGCAGGAAGCAACAGAAACCTATTAGAGTAGTCATTTAATTTATTAACCTAAGACATTTGCACTCCAATGCAACACAGGCAGTTAGCTTTGTGAGAAATGATTATATGATTATTACAAAGGTTAATTAGAATTGTTAATTGCTTTGGAAACAGCCAACTAAAATTCTGTGAATAAAGAACAGGCAATTGTCTGTTATTTGTCGATTTCTGTTATTTGGATTTTTAAAGTTTTCCTCCTTGCAGCTGTGTTATTTCAGCTTAGGCTGCTATGAAGTGCTGCATACTTTAATTTTTTTTTCCCAGGGTTTTTTTCCCCTGTGTTAAGAAGATTGCAAAACCTCCTTCTTTGAAGGAAAGATTTGGAATTAAATCCAGCAATTGAAACACAAAGACTCGACCTGAATTTGTGAAAATCTAAAGGAAAGTAGGAGGGCATTGGGGAATTTTTTAATATTTTGGGGTGAAAAGAATCACTGAGATAATGTTACTAATTGTTTCTATTGCACAATTGCCGCTTTTATTCATTTCACCACTGCAAAAAAAACTAAAAGTAGTGTTGCTATTCTGATATGACCAGAATTCTGATAGAATTTTATTCCAAGGATTGGAACATTTTCAAAGCTGCGTATGGTGACTTGGAACTAGTCTTTAAAAAACAGATTGCATAACTTTATTTTATTTATTGCATAAATTGTAACATTTAAACCACACAAAAATAAAAATACAAAAGCAAAGTAGAAAAGAAGTAACTACTAATAAAAAAACAAGTTATGAAGAAGAGAACTTCATAATGCATTTGATAATAATTGCTTGGTGGCTTCAGTAGAAATTATACAATCAACAGTTTTCTGAAGTATATCAAAGCATTTATGTAATATTTAAACAAATGTTACTGGGAAGTGCAAAGACCAGATAATGGTGGCCCTCAATCTCTAGAATATTCATTGGGAAGAATTATAGAACTAAAAATTATATTTCCAGAAATGAGGACGTTATAAACATTTGATTTCTTTCTTCTTCCTTGACAATTTTAGGAGAACTCTTAAACAGAATAGTTTTTTTTTTCCTTGAAAATATTTTACTTCTCATCCAAGAAGTTTCTTGCTTCTTGGATGAGAAGAAACGTTTTCAAGGAGGAAAGGCCAAGAAAGACCAGTTGCCTTTTGAAAAGCACCTTTGGGACAACTGTGACCTGGATGATTAAGGATCTCCATAGACATTTCGCTCAATAAAAATATTTATAAACTTAGTGAAAAATGGGGAAAAGGACAGTGTTGTTTCTTTTTAAAGAGATGATGAAAATTTTAAAAAATGAATTCTAGTTGGTGTCAGCTAAAGATGGCTTTTTTACCTACCAAAGTTTTGAAGTGATTTTTTGTTTAGGAACAGAAACAATAGCTGCCATGTAAATGTTTTATGTGACCCTTTGTTCTTGAGGAAATTGCAAAAAAGTGCATGGCGTAATGTTCTTCAATAAATCAAGCTTGAACTCAGAATAAACAAAATCTTACCAAATTAACCTGGCTCCTGCTACCATTTGTCAGTTTTGTTCTGTTTCAGGAGGTTGTGAGAGGATAGGAATGGTTGGGAGGGAAGAAGTGACCCAGGGTTGATGCCCTGAATAAAATTAATCATTAGACCACCAAGATGGAAGGCTACTGCTATTTTGCTGGCTTTGGGACTTTTCTCTTGGTACTGCACACCAAGAGTTTACTCCCTACAACTTTATATGCTTTCCTTTGAAGCCAATTTTTTTTTCTCCCTATTGCTTGATTCCAAAATAAATGTTCTCTCATTTCTCATTGTCTGTGTTAGCTCCATTTCTTTCTGTTGGGTAGTGAACTTTATCCAATGGCCTTTTAAACTCATTAAAGCCCAGGAAATATTTTATATGGTTTGCCGATTAACTCAATGAATTATGTTAGGAAGATTTGGGTAGGGCCTTTTCTATGGGTGTATGAAACATTTACTAAGCATCAGGTGTCATCCCTCACTTTGATCATTTTGTGTGTGTGCACCAATGGTGTTATTATGATTGGATTGAAGGGAAGAAGAGGTCCTTCTTATATTTAGCAATTTAAAATGTAGGGCAAAGATTACAAGAAAGGAGATTTATGGCTTAAAAGCATTATCTCTGAGAAGTATTTTTAGTGACCTTACATTGTAAAGTGGCCTGAGTTGGAGAGAATTGACAGCCCATACATTTAAATAAAAATAACAATTACTAGTAGTACTAGTACCTCCAGTGATGAGCGCCCACGATTTCTGAAGGCAAGCTGTTCCACTGGTTAATTGTCCTCACTGGTAGAAAGTTTCTCCTTAATTCCAAGTTGCGTCTCTCTTTGATTGGTTTCCAACCATTGTTTATTGATCTGCCCTCTGATGCTTTGGAGAATAATTTGATTCCCTCTTCTTTGTGGCAGCCCCTCAAATACTGGAATACTGCTATCATCCCTATTTCTTCTTTTCTTTAGACTAGCCAAACCCAGCTGTTCTTCATATGTTCAAGTCTCCAGGCCTTTGATCATCTTAGTTGCTCTTCTCTGAACTTTTTGCAGTCTCAACATCTTTTATGTAGTATGGTGACCAAAATTGGTTGCAGTATTCCAGGTGTGGTCTTACTAGGGTTTTATAAAGGGGTACTAATACTTTGTGTGATCTTGATTCTATGCCTCTGTTTATACAACCCAGGATTGTATTAACTTTTTGGGCTGCTGTCATACACTGCTGGCTCATATTCAAATGATCATCCACTAGGACTCCAAAGTCCTCTCACAGTTACTGTTTTTGAGCCAGGTGTCACCTAATCTGTACTTGTACCTTTGATTTTTCCTGCCTAAATTTAAAACTTTGCTTTTCTCCCCATTAAAATTCATTTTCTTGGATCAGGCCCATTGGGTAACAAGAACAAGTTGAGAACCTCTGGATTTGCATGGTAATTTCTGTTCTGGGTAAACAGCTGCAGATTAAAAACTGTCCTTTTTCTTTTTCTCTTATAGAATTTTAGTTAATAAGAGTTATTAGATATAGATAATTACTTAAATGAAGCCAACTTCCCTAAATTAACAGAAGATCAGAAACAAGAAATTAATGGTTTGATTACTAATGAGGAAATTGAGATGGTGATTAAAGAATTAAAATTAGGTAAAGCACCGGGTACGGATGGCCTGACATCTATTTATTATAAAACTTTGACACAAGAGATGGTTCAACCTTTAAGAGAACTTTTTAATAATATATTACAGGGTTCAGAGATTTCCCCGTCATGGGGTAGAGCTTTTATATCTTTAATTCCAAAAGAAGATCAAGACCTTACTTTACCAAAGAATTATAGACCTATATCTCTTTTAAATGTAGATTATAAGATTTTTGCGAAAATTTTAGCCAATAGGCTCATGAGGGTTTTGCATCATGTCATACACACAGACCAAACAGGTTTTATAACTGGAAGGTATATGAAGAATAATGTTAGACAAATCATTAATTTATTAGAATATTTAGATAAAAATAATCAAGTTTCCACAGGATTGATATTTTTAGATGCTGAAAAAGCTTTTGATCAATTGAATTGGCAATTTATGTTAAGATTAATTGAGAAAATGAATTTTGGAGGACAAATTCTACAAGCTCTTGGTGTTATTTATCAAAAACAAACGGCACAACTTATAGTTAATGGGGGTTTGTCAGAGGTTTTTACAATAGAAAAAGGGACTAGACAGGGATGTCCATTGTCACCACTGCTGTTTGTTTTAACTTTGGAAATATTGCTGATTAAAATCCGAGAATCACAGCAAATAAAAGGAATAGAAGTTAATAAAAAATATAAATTAAGAGCTTTTGCAGATGACTTGGTCGTTACCCTATCACAATCTATTCATTCTGTAGTAGAGTTATTACAACTGATACATCAATATGGACGGGTTTCAGGTTTTAAAATTAACAATAATAAGAGTAAAATATTACCTAAAAATATGACCAATCTTGATAAGCAGATTTTGGTTAACTTGACAGATTTTGAGGTTGTTGATAAGGTAAAATATTTGGGGGTTACTTTATCTGTCTCTAATGCAAAATTGTATAAAAATAATTATGAAAAGCTGTGGGTCAAGATACAAAGAGATTTGAAAAATTGGGAGAAGTTGCAATTATCTCTTCTGGGAAGAATTGCAGTGATTAAAATGAATGTTCTGCCAAAGTTTCTTTTTCTATTTCAAATGATACCTATCTTAAAGAACGAGGTTAATTTAAATGAATGGCAGAAAGGTATCAACAAATTTATTTGGGCAGGGAAAAAGCCAAGAGTAAAATTTAAAATTATGCAAGATACTCGTGAGAGAGGTGGACTCAAGGTACCGAACTTGAAATTGTATTATGATGCTGTGGTTTTAACATTAATTAGTGATTGGGTTAATTTAATAAATGCAGAAATACTCCTCTTGGAGGGTTGGGATTTACTTTTTGGATGGCATGCCTATTTAATTTTTAATAAAAAGGTTGATAGGGTTTTTAAATCTCATATTATAAGGATTTCTTTACTTCGGGTTTGGAGGAAATATTATAGAACTGATTCTAAAATTCCATTATGGGCCATGCCATGGCATGCGATAGAGGGGATAAGGAGAGGAGTTAAGATGGATAGTGTTTCTTATGCATAATTACTTAGATGGGATGGTAAAAATTGGCAGTTAAAATCTTTGGAAGATTTAGCACAAGAAAATATTATATATTCATGGTTTCAGTATAGACAAATTGTGGATAGGTGGAAGGTAGATTGCAAGGTGGGTTTGCTTAGAGAAGATGAGAATTTTTTTAAACAAGTAAAAGATCAAAGACGAACTCATATTAAGAGAATTTATGGGGTGTTAATAGAATTGGATTCAGAAGCAGAATTAGTTAAAGAATGTATGATTAAATGGGCACAAAATTTTGGTGAACCAGTTTTATTAGATACTTGGGAAACTATTTGGGTGAGAAATGTTAAATTTACACAAGCCCAGAATTTAAGGGAGAATTTTTATAAAATGTTTTACAGATGGCACCTTGATCCACAAAAAATGTCTCGTATGTATCCTGACTTACAGCCTAAATGTTGGAGATGTGGATGTTTGGATGCTACTTATTATCATATTTGGTGGTCGTGTAAAAATATAAAAGCTTTTTGGATTAAGATATGGTGGAATATTCAAAGAATCTTTAGAAGGAGGGTAAAATTTACCCCACAATTGTTTTTGTTAGGTATTGTTATTGATTGTGATATTAAGGAGACTACACTGATGTTAAATTTAATTACAGCTGCAAGGTTGTTAGTAGGGCAATGTTGGAAGAAGGAATCTTTGCCTACTTTGCAAGAGTGGTTTCTTAAAGTTTCTTATTTGGCGGAAATGGCAAAGATTTCAGCTTTTTTGAAGGATCAATCGCAAGAGAAGTATGTTGTGGTATGGAAAAAATGGATAGATTTTATACAATATAAGTTAGATATAAAAAAATATTATCTAGTTTTTTAACAATTTATATTTAAAACGGAATATTTTGATTTTTTTTTCCTCTTTTTTTTGTTCTTCTTTTTTCCCTTTTTTCATTCTTTTTTTTTAAACATTTATATTTTGTATTCATGTTTCTTTTATATATATATACTATTGTTAATTATTTTATAATTTTTCTAATTAATGTATTTAGATTTTTAACTAATGTTAGATTTATTTATGGTTTATATCTTTTTTTAAGATTTTTTGATGAAATTCTAATTAAGCCTATATCCAGCTCTGCGAAGGTCGGGGGAGGGAATGGGAGGGTTGGGGAGGTTGGGGGGAAGATTGTTTTGTTTTTGTGAAATGTCAAAAATTTAATAAAAATTATCTTTGAAAAAGAGTTATGCAACATACAAATAAGCTTTTAATTATAATCTATTTCTACCTTTACAGAAATGTTATCATGTTTCCCGACCTGTCAGAACTTGAGCAAATAACCTTGAACATGCCTTCTTACCTTTTATTTCTGTTTTCTCCTTTTCTTTAACCAAATGGACAGGAATTATGCTAACAGCCATCTCAATATCAAAGCAAATCAGAGGGGGAAATGCAGTCTCTTTCAGAACCAGCTGCATGCTTGCCCCCAGTACAATTGTTTTGTTTGGATTAACCTCCAGCTTGCTTATCTGCATCCATCCTAAATTTTGCTTCCAGGTATGATTCTAGTGTTTCACAGCCTCCTGAGACTAAGAGTTGGGGAGATAATGCTGTGCAGGTTCTGAGGTTTTGCTTGATAAAATAATACAGGAAACCAGAAGTTGCCTTTTAAGCTTTATGTTTTTATTCAGCTGAATAAAGACAGGTTCCTCTAAAAGAGAGAAGCCCCAAATGACAAGAAATCCTTGTATTTATTCTTTCTGATTACATAAGCAATCCACCCAGCAAAGCTGACACACGTAAGATAAAGATTTCACCCAGTAAGTCTGGCACACTGTGGATAAGAAGGGAGAAAGCAGAAGTAGCTAAAAATGTTCCCTTTTGGGTGTTTCCC